TATATATATATATATATATATATATATTCATTCATATACGTATGTCCAAAACTTCTCCAAATCCATTAAGATTAATAACAGATTGATTTATAGTATAATAATGCTTTGTCCATCAAAGGTTACACTCAAATAATAGATATTTATAATACAACACAATAATCATCTATATATTTACTTACTTTACCTGCCTCTCAGGTATAACTGACCTCAAATGTTTGTATATTAAAATTTTCCAGTTCATTTTTTTTCTGCTGCTATTAACTTTCCTTCAAACCTATCATGTTTTAAGTTTTGTAACTACATTAGTGACATTAGTACATTCCTTATTTCGTTTCAATATATAGTATAGCTGCTTAAGAATATAAAAGAAATAATATTCAGTACCAACTTGTAAAAGCAATTTACAATTAATTTTAATATACAGGAAGTCCTCGCTTAACGGCTATTCATTCAGCGACCGTTCGAAGTTACGATGGCACTGAATGAATGGTATTTACGACCAGTTCTTGAAGTTACGGCTGTTGCAATGCTCCCAGTCACGTGATCAAAATTTGGGCGCTTGGCAGCCTGCCCGCATTTACAATTTTAAGACGCACTTCAATTCCCCCTACCTGCCCATCCCCCCCATCTCTTTCGTTTTGGCTGCCCTGTACTCTGTTGCCTGTGGCCAGGCTCAACTTGTCAGCAACAGAAGGAAGAATATGGTGAAGGTCAGTTGGGGACCACAGGGGACAGCAGAGGCAGTGGAGTGCAAGGTGGCAGGGGCAGCAGAGTGCAGGGTGGTCAATAGGTGGGTGGGGGGAATTGAAGCGGAGGCGAGCATGGTAGGGCAGAAGTGTGAGGTCCTGGCTGAACATTGGTCTGGCCCTGGCCTAACAACTGCAACCAGGATTACCAAAAAACTGCCATCACTAAGCAGTGTTGTCATGTTATGTTTCACCTAACAACCACATTGCTTATCGACAGAAATTTTGGTCCCAATTAGGGTTGTTATCTGAGGACTATCTGTAAGTTAGCTGAAATAAAACCAAATGAAACATTTAGCAGTGGAAAATATAACATTTTCTCATTTAAGAACTAAAATAACAAATTTGTTTTCAAAGTTTTCAAAGTAAATTGATATTAACTTAGGAGGGAACGCCACTGAATAGACAACATGTGTGATGGAAGGCATGAGCGAGGAGGATCCTGGAATGGAGCTTCAAGGTTACATGGAGGGGGAGAGACATTCCAAGCATCTCCTCAGCTCCCAGCCGGAGCGTGTGAAAGTGAAGAGAAGGAGACTGGCCCCTCCCTAAGAGATTCAGGGTTATAGTTGCTGTCATTGGGGGTTAGAGTTAGTCTGCGGAGATTCTGCCTAATAGGTGTAAGCTAATAAAGTAACTGAACTGTTCCTGGATTGTCTCGCTGTGGTTCTTGGGCTGAACCTGACAACATGACTATGAAGGCCTTTTCTGTAGTATTCATCAGTGTTTACTATTCTTAGTGGCAGGTTAGTAAACAGAGTTTTTGATATTTCTTAAAGCATGAGCATGTTCATACAAAGATAACCTGTTTTTCAGTTCAATCCTTTCATTTTCACCAGATATTTCTTTATTTAAAATATTTTTCTGGCTAAGCTTTAACTTGTTTGCCTTTATTCACGGCAGACAAGGAAGGGAAGGCAGGCACTAAAAACCAAGGAGCAAAAAGGGAGGGAATGGTGTCCAAATGCCAGTGAAGAAAGAACACATTATTCTTCAGGCCTGGCACACTTCGGATATATGAAGGCACCATGAAAGATAAAGAACTACAACCTTACCATACAGTTTACAGTGTTTGTAACATAACCACTATGACCACTCACTCACTTTCTAATTATGACTTTGAAAACACATTATTATATAACAGCTAGTGAAAGCATTATAAAAACATTCAAGTATATTGTTAGCTTAGTTTCTTTAATTTTAAACTAATCTACATTCATATTTTCAAGAATACCACAATCTCATAAAAAACATTGCTTTGAGTTTTTTGCTATGCATAGGCAAAGCAGTTACAAAATTAACTTGTATAATATCTCCATACATATAGTAAGAACTTTTGGTTTCATAAAATATTGGCATATATTTATAATAAAAAAATCCACTTATTGAGGGATTAGTGGTAAGATCGATCCTTGGAAAGTTGTGGGCTAATTTCTCAAAACAACATGCATTATACATGGCTGAAAGGAAGAAAATTGTAAAAGGCCATCAAAGCCATCATTGATTTGGTATGCACAAGTTCTTGGGCTGTAAAATGTTATACAAAGTACTATGCAAATTACAAAATGTTACATAAATTAATATGCATACCTGCCTGCTTTTTTGGACCTTAAGATCAGGTAGATCACTGCCTAAATCTGTTTGAGGACTACCAGAGATACATTTATTCTATTCATGTATTTATGGTTAAATGATTAATCATAAAGTGTTGCTTTACCCAGCCCCTCTCCCTTTTTTAAAGGCAAAATTACAATCCCACACAACACTTAACACAATTTTTGGCCCAAAATGATGGATATGAAAATGAGTACCTGCATATTATTATATATCTGCATGTTATTCATTATATTAAAATGCTAATTGTAAAAATTCTAAATCATGTTATTTTGTATTGGTTAATTATCACTTTCTTTCTTCTTCTTTCTTCTTTATGGATTTATTCTATTTATATGGCCACCCATCTCAACAAGGGACTCTGGGCAATGTTTTTTGTACACCACCCAGAGTTGGGCAGCCACATAAATGCCTAAATAAATAAATATGTAAAGTCAAAATTTGAAATGAGATTTACTACTGGCTAGAATTTGAGTACCTTATTTTAATATATATTGATTTTGAGTACCTTATTTTAATATATATTAATGCATTAAAATAACCTAGGAAAAATATAACTTGCATGCTTACAATGCAAAATAATCTGAAGTTCCACAAGTAATTTCTTCTGTCCTGCACGACTTGGAACTGGAAGCTTTTGCATAGGCTCACCTTTTCTATTCAGTATTTTAACGTTTAGATCTCCTATGGAAAAATAAAGCAACCAACATACTTGAAAAACAAATTGACTAAGACAGATTTTAAAGTACCATTTCAATTAACAATCAATCCACATATATATGAGAAACAAGTTGAAATTAAGCTATATCTGAAATTAATACAAACCTATAATAAATCCTGCACGTTTGGTCTCATTTGGTAATAATTCATCTCCTTTAGGCCATGTTAATGACAAACTGTCAGGAAGTCTAGTAAGAGAAGAAGTTACAACTGTTTACATTCCCTAGGTTTACCAATATAAGAGTCACTTTAGTGAGATAGGTATCTATATAAATTGTCTAAGTAAATAAACAAAGTAAAACACTGATGAATTAAATTTATTATCAAGAAAATAAAATGCATCTAATTAATTAACTTGTATTCTTTTTGAAAACATATAAATAACATAATAATTTGCTCAGCCACTGCAGGCAGTAGAACCAAGTGAGCTCCAGCTGATCTCAAATAGACTAAACTGAGTTAATGATTGAATGAGAAGGCACCAGGAAAATCTCAGGGTTACAGATAAGACTGGGAAGTTGAAAAAAAATCTGGAAGAATGCAATGGTAAACTATTTATGTATTATTGTCAAAAAAAAAAACTCCATGTGGACACATCACACATCTATACATTCACAAGGAAATGAGCTTGACTCAAGGGAGTCTTTAGCTTTTTAATATATTAATTAATTATTAATATTAACCTAATAAAGACTGCATAAAATACATGCAACCTTAGCAAAAGTACTCCCTCCACCAATGTCCAAGGAAATGTCATGCAAAATGTTGCTTGCTTCAACAAATGAAAGATGTACCATGGGGAAAAAAAGAATTTTCCCCCTCAAAAATATTCTTTCAGATATATTCAGAATATTTATTGATTAATCAATTTATAACCTAATATTTAATTGGGTGACAGGCTTATATATTTATTTGTGTTTACTTTTTATTTCTAAAGTAACAAAATAATTTATTAGCTATATAAACTTACTTGGCCATGTCTTCTTCAATGTGTTTTTTCACTTCTGCTTCGGACACAGTACGATCAAGTTTGCATATTGGAATAGTCTTCATTTCATCATAAAATGCCTGAGGTTCCTGAAAAATTAATGCTTTTATAGGGAAGTAGGAAATTACCTATATCTATATATATTTATGCATATCTTCAAATAAAGATTTTGCAATTCAAACATAAATATAGTGAAATACTACACTTCCTTGTAATTAATAGTAAAATATCAATGACACAGCATAATTTTTGAGATTCTGGCTTTTAACTATTTGCAGTAGAAATTAAAAAGACAAATTTTAAATCAATGCATTAACTTAATCTCTTAAAAATATTTACAGATTAAAAAGCTATGTGTTAACTGGGAGATTTTTTTTAAAGCACTAATTTCTTTTCTTCTTGTTTATTATTAATATTTTTATATTTTCTCTTTAAGAATTCACCAAAATAATAAACAATAAAAAAGCAATAAATATTGCTGATGGCAAGCACCATTTTGCTATCAAGTAACATTTCTTTTCTGTCACAAGTATAGATTAATTTTTAAGAAGCTATTTGTTACCATAGGTATGCACTACTTAAAGATCACATGTTTTTTCAGAGATATTTTATTTTAATCTACAAACACTCCCCTTCCTTATTTTTTTTCCAAGTTCCTCTTCATAAGCATATTTTTCTGGAAAGGCTTTGAATTAAGACCTAGCACCAATCTTATTGCAACTAACTCATTAGTAGATACATATAACTGAAGGAATAACCTTCCCTCGTTTACCTGTTCTTCCACCTACACCTTCTGTTCTATCCTGCAAACTCTTGAGCTAGGGGCCTATCACACCTGCTCTCTATAAAATACCATATTTATAGAACTTGCTATAAAATACATAAGCTAAAAACTCATTGATTAAAAAAATTAAATCTCACATGGGTAATCAATTTCTAATTCAGGCTATGCCTGCAATTGTACTGAATAAAATTGGTTGAGTTACATTACTTTACTGAATGACTAGAAAAACAATGAACACATTTTCACCTTGAAAGACCCATCTTCCAATATCAAAGAAATATGTACATACAACACAGATATAATCCATGGTATAGATAGTCTAATAGTCATACTGATAGCCTGATAGCCACATATTTGCAGCAATAATACAGCTAAATGTAATAGTGAAATCCTGAAACCAAACTGATGACATTAGATAGGAGGGTGAAGACTGATATTTCCAAAGTGGTATTCTCCAAAGTGGTAATGCCATATGTAGAAACAAGCTAAAAAGGTGAAGCTGAAGGCTTTCAGCATGTGCATGATATGATAATATAGGGAGAATAGCTTTAAATTTGTTAGATGTTGCGGATTTGTGGGACAAGACAGCAAAAAGAACAGCTTTTACCATAACTGCTGGAGAACTAATATCAGCAGAAGAAATTCTGAATTAGAAAGAACCATTTAGTGTAGTGGATGAAAGTGAAAATACCTCTTCTGCAAGGACACTGCAGAAATTATCTATTAACATAGAGTAAAACATGACACTTAGACAAGCAGCCAAAAGAACCACACACACATGGTTATATCTGGAAACGGATGTACTGTACCGTTATTTCAACACTTAAAAATAACTGTCTCTGAGTTCAGGTGGTCCTTGGCTTTAACTGAAACTAGTTAGTGGGCATAAAAATACAGCAGAATGGAAAGAAAAATTGGGATACAGTCATCTTTGGATACAAATTCTAAGGCAGGGGTAAGCATCAACTGAGATATCCACATCCATCCACGTACAAACAGCAAACTGAATAAAGTTCCTTCAAAAGGAAGGGGAAATGTAATTCCATCTTTCCAATTCATCCTGAGCAAATTCAATGGAAGCAGTGAAATTTCATCCTTCTTCTAAACAAGTTATCAGCAATTTTTTCAGGCACCATTGTAGTATTGTATCCTACATAATAGTAATAATAATAATAACAATAACAAATTGTATTTTTTAAAAATTAAAATGGGCAGAATCTCATAGTGTTTTTCATAATTTAGAAAACTGTCAATAATGCAAGATCATTCCCTCTCATTTTGGGAGCATAAGATCCAAAAAAGGATTGTCTCAAATGATCAAATACTGGAGCAACTCTTTTATGAAGAAGGTGACAGAGTCACAAATTATAAGGAAGGAAGAGGATTTTATTTTTCATAACTGAATTCAGATCTTGAATGAAGTTTGAACTGTGCGTGATTCAGAAGTTCTAAATGCAGTACATCGTGGATGGGCAGTATTAGATAGTGTTAAGATGAAGGAGGACTGGGTAAACCAAGACTAACTCTACCCTCAGCTACAGATAAAAATTATTTAATTTACAGGCAATCCTCACTTACTGACCACAATTGAGACTGGAAAATCCATTGTTAAGCAGCGCGGTTGTTGTGAAATGTCATGTGACCGTGCCGTACTTACATCACTCCCACTGCAGTCATTAAGTGAGTCACCAGTGGTTGTTAAGCGAGACGTCACATGACCGCAACTTGAGATTTCATTGCTGGCTTCCTCATTGACTTTGCTTGTCTGAAGCCAGCGGTTAATTATGCAAATAGTGATCATATGACCATAGGACACTGCTATGGTTGTAAACACCTGTCAGATCCCTAGTACCCAAATTTTGATCATCTGACCACAGAGACGCTGTGATGGCCGTAAGTATGAGGACTGGTCATTAAGGTACTTTTTCCGTGTTGACATAACTTTGAACGGTCACTAAATAGGGCAGTGGGTAAGCAAGGACTACCTGTAATTTTATTTTATTCAATTTAGGCACCACACAACTCCAAATTGACTCTAGTATAATTCACTACCAAAAGTTGTGGCATTTTAGAAGTGGAATAGATATATGCCTGGTGAATAAGGCTGTTGATTCATGGTGACCAAGTCTTAATATTGGAGGCAGTATACTTAATACCAGTTGCTGGAAAGTGGATAAGTGGCAATCCACAGGAATAGAATGCTGGATTACACAACTTTGGTCTGATTCAGTACAGTTCTGATTGTTAAAATGTTCCTATTTAGGTTTGAATTGACTATATAAATGGATCAGTTTAAAACTTTAAATGATTTACTTACCAAAGCTATCTGAACATCTCCACCAACAGCATAGACGTCTCCATCATAATTTCCATATAGATAAAAATGTTGTATTTTTCCATATACTGGAGTTCTTTTCATTGATCTCACCTGACATATAAACAATATTTCAGCATTTATTTTTTATATAAAGGTTTAATTTCATCCTAAAAATAATTGCAATACACTACTATAATTAGTAAAAATATCTAAAATTTTGTAATAGATATAAATAATGAATAAAAAGATTCATTAATATACTTCTGTTTATGATAGCTTTTCAGTAATGATATTTTCTAATACAGACAAAAATATTTCCTAATACAGTTCATAAAGTCTCCCCTTGGACAATGATACAGAGCAGAGTTTAGTAGGGAGCAACCAGCTTCAGTAACTAGGGAGTTGTAGCTATCTTCTCTGTTTATTCTTATACAACGGTTAGAAAGGTTTCTAAGATTTTTCCATTTAAAATTGCCATGGAATTTTTTTTCCAGGACTTACAGTGTGGCTTAAAAGTTTGTGAACCCTTTTAAATTTTCAATATTTCTGCATAAATATGACCTAAAATGTGATCTCCACACAGATCCTAAAACTAGATAAAGAGAGCTCAGTTAAACAAATGAATCAAAAACATTATATTTGTTCATTGATTTATTGAGAAAAATGATCCAGTTACATATTTGCATGTGGCAAAAGGACATGAACCTCAAAGATTATCTGTGCATTTGAAGGGGGAATTAGAGTCAGGTGTTTCCATCCATGGGATAATCAGGTGTGAGTGTGGGAGGTCCAGTCTTATTTAAAGAACAGAATTCTGGGTATTCACTACCAAAGTCTGATCTTCACAACACAGGTATGTGGAAATGTGCCATGACATAAACAAAAGAGATTTCTGAGGGCCTACAAGAAGCAATTCTTGATGCTCACCAGGCTGAAAAAGGCTACAGAATATTTCCAAAGAGAATGGAGGCAATACAACACCATTGTTACCCTCTGTAGGAGTGGTCAACCAACCAAGATCACAGAAACAGCAGGGCATGAAATACTCCAGGAGGTCTCAAAGAAACCCAGGGTAATGTCTAAGGAACTAAAGCCTCTCTTGCATTGGCAAATGGTCAGCGTTCATGACCACCATCAGGAGAACACTAAATGACAATGGGATGCATGGTAGGATTGGAAGGAAAAAGCCACTACTCTCCAAAAAGAACATTGCTGCCTGTCTAGTTTGCGAAAGACCACGTGAATAAGTAGAAGGCTACTGGGAGCATGTTCTGTGGACAGATGAGACCAAAATAAAATGTTTTGGTTTGAATGAAGAGTGTTTTTGGGTGAAAGGCAAACACTGCATTCCAACATAAGAACCTTATTCCATCTGTGAAACATGGTGGTGGCAGTATCATGGTTTGGGCTTCTTTGCTGCCTCTGGACCAGGACAGTTTGCCATCATTGATGAAGCTATGAATTCTGAACTGTACCATCAAATTCTACACAAAAATGTCAGGGTATCTGTCTGTTAACTGAAGATCAAGAGAAAGTGGGTCATGCAGCAAGATAACAACCCAAAACTCACAAATTGTATGACCAAAGAATGATTAAAGCAGAAGTTAATGTTTTTGAATGGCCAAGTCAAAGTCTTGATTTCATCCTATAGAAATGTTATGCAAGGACCAGAAGTGGGAAGTTCACGCGAGAAAGCCCACCAACATCTCTGAGTTGAAGCTGTTCTGTGAGGAGGAATGGGCTACAATTCCTCCAAGCCAATTTGCAAGATTGGTCAACGGTTATTGGAATTGTTTAGTAGCAGTTATTGCTGCCCAAGAGGGACACACCAGTTACTGAAAGCAAAGATTCACATACTTTTCTCTCACACAAATACATAGCTTTGGATCACTTTCCTCAATAAATAAATGAACAAGAATAATGTCTGACACAATTGTTCCACTGGCTTCTCTTTATCTAGTTTTAGGACTTGTGTGGAGAACAGATAATGTTTTAGGCCATATCTATGCAGCAATGTTGAACATTCGAATGGGTTCAAAAACTTTTAAGCACCACTGTATTTATTGAGACCGAAGAACTGGATATTTACTGATAGTTGATGTTTTTTAATGGTCATGGGTAAATTCACACATATAGGTTTTACTCTTGACCTAACCCTATTGATAACTTTTTGCAGCTCACAGACAATTATATAGGCAAAATTCTTGCTGAACTTTTCAGTTCCTTAAATGGACACAGTAGTTCCATGATCGGGAACCTTGAGGTCACATGACACAAAGCAGAGTAGGAGGACAGATTGTGGAAATACACAGAAGATTACTGAAATAATCTTAGGTAACCAACTAGTTCTAAAATGTTCTTCATTTATTCAGTACTGAATCAAGGTAATTTTTTATCTGTTCCATGCCAAGGATTAATTAATTAATTACAAACTAAGAATATAAAAAGTAAAGAAAAAAAGAAAAAGTGCAGAGAAAAAGAAAAAAAGCCAATAATAAAGAAAAAATAAAAGATATGTAAAGAAATAACTCCCTCTCCCTCCAGAAAATATAAACAACTTCAGTAACTTAACACCTTCTCTAATATTTCATAAAAAAATCTCTTCCCATATCTCATCTCTTATCAATAAACAAATTGTAAAAACTCACCATTCAATCCTAATCAGCAAAAGTCCATTAAGTGCTACCAGAATTAATAACACATATATTTTAACCTTAATCAAATAAAGCCATTTTGTATTCCAACTTTTCACTTTTCCTAAAAAAATTAAGCAAAACAAATCTCTCCCCATATCTTATCTGTCATCTATAAACAAATCTTTAAAGCCTCATTATTCAGTCCTGGTCAAAAAAAAAAGTTCCATTAATAGCTACCAGAAACCACAACATCTATATTTACAATACACAAATTGTAAAAACTTTGTCATTCAGTCCTAATCAGCAAGAGTTCATTAAGAGCTACCAGAAATAATACCATATATATTTTAACCTTAATCAAATAAATCCATTTCGTGTTCCAACTTTTCACTTTCTCTAAAAAATAAAGTAAAAGAAATCTCTCCCCATACCTTATCTGTTATCTATAAACAAATCTTTAAAGCCTTGTCTTTCAGTCCTGGTCAAAAAAAAAAGTTCCATTAATAGCTACCAGAAACCACAACATATATATTTTAATCCTGGTCGAATAAATCCACTTTATATTCCTTTCGTTTACTTTTTAAAAGCTTGATCTTTAATCACTTCAGATAATGTCCCACAAGTTGATTTCTTATTATTTTCTCTTTGCCTCCTCTCAGAATCTTCACTAATTTAACATGTCTCTTTCGTAAATCCAAGATAAGAAAGCTTTCCAAGTCACTCTTCTGATTTATTATTTGTATGTCCCC